CTGTCTCAATGATGCTTGTGAGGATTAAGTATAAATTGCATTTCATACAACATGTGTGTGGAAAGTAAATGCTGCACGAATGGTTGCTACTATTCTGTTTTTCAATAACAATTGGTATTTTAGCTTGTTTCCCCTACCATAGTGATATACAAAGTAGATAGTTGTCTGCTTTGTGAAATGGTTCATCAGGTCTTGTTACAATAACTTTTAACAATTTTCATAAAAATAAAATTGAAGTTGAAATATTCCTAAGCCTGTCTTGTAACAAATCAATCATCATTTTTTCCATGGTTTTCCAAGTCCTTGTATGTATGGGAAAACCATTCTGTGTAGCTTCAGTTGTACTGCACATATGATTGAGTGCTCATTCTGTGTTTTAATTTGACATTTACATCTTCATTTAACATTTTTTGGACTTTTCCCCATGTCCTTTTAATAGTTGGAGTTTTCTCTTACTGTTTGTTTGTACTTCTAGCAGAAAATGACAAAGAACTTGAGTTCCAGTTGTCACTGTTGATTCTACATATTAGTTCTTGACTGCCTATGGATTTTCTATTAGAAGTGACAAATCTTTGTATAAATTTGATAGGTTGATTTCTGTCACTTATAGTTTTGCTTTTTCCTAACTTAACTTAAAAACTTACTATATACCCTGAGAAGATGTTCATTTTCTTTTATTAGGGAAATTTAAATCAAAACAGCAATGACTTACCACCTCACACCTGTGAGAAAGTGTGTGGAGAGAATGGTGCTGTTGTACTTTTGGTGGAAATGTCAATTGGTGCAACCATTATGAAAAGAAGTACGAAGATTTCTCAAAATATTAAAAATAGAAATTCCATGAAATCCACTTATGGGTATTTGCCAGAGTATGCAAAAACATTAATTTGAAGAGTTACATGCACCCCCGTGTTTATCACAGCATTATTTACAATAGCCAAGAGCTGAACAACCTAAGTGCCCAATGACACATGATTATATAAAGAAGATGTTATACAGAGATTCAAATTTCAGAAAAAAATATAAATCCATACAGATATACACATATATGTATATCTGTATGAGCATAATTTCTAAATGTGCTTAGTTTTCAAAATGAAAATGTTAAATCATGATAAAACTTCAAGAATTCCTGCAAAAACAAAAAAATGAAATGCCAAAAATAAATACTTGGAAGCACCAACTAATCCAGTAAATAGAAAAGATTCACTATGTATTTAATTGACTGCTACGTGGGCCAGGAAAGTGTTGCCATAGCTTTCTTTAACCATGAAGAACATAAATAAATATGCTATAAAATTATTCCTCTTCTTTACCCCCTTCCACCTCCAATGAGGTAAAGCATATAAAATTGTAGAGGAAAAAAATAGAGCTAAATGTGCTATTTTCACACACATAGTTATGATATGGAAAATACTCAGAAACATGCCGGCACATACAGAGCAGAATTCATAATAAAGTTGTGAGAAACCTCATTCCTCCATGAGATTTGTACTGGTGGGATGTTTCCTAGAAGAAAGCAGCAGCACCTGCAGTTGTGCCCTGATGCCTGCCTTCAAAGACTGTAGGAATATTTAAATAGTTTGTGTGTGTGTGCGTGTGTGTGTGTGTGTACACACATGTATTTACCAAGAAAGAAAAAGAAAGAGAAATTTGTGGGGAAAAAAAGTTGCTTCTAAGGAGTTAGGTGTACATAATTCTTGTTTGTTTGCTTTATGAATGTGATTGGTTTTCATGTTCAAAACATGTGACTATCGAAGTATCTGTTTGGGGGCAGATTTCTTTACAGCTGCAGCAGAGACTATGCCTATCATTAGCCTAGTCACTCAGTCACTGTCTCCATTTATAGTTGAGTTTGTAAAATGTTCAAAATAGGAACTCTAGGTTTCTGCTGATCTTGAATCATCAGAGAGAAGAAAAACCTTATTCTTTCTTTCAATGCCATCTTTGCAGACATGTTTTAAGACTGATTATGATTGACTAGAAAATTCTGACTTTAATTTTTTTCCAAATTCAAACTTACCTTTTCATGCTCTCTAATGCAGAATATCAGTGTCTTTAAGAATTTTAAGGCCATATAAATGTGTGTGTGTGTATGTGTGTGTGTGTGTGTGTATGTATATATATATCTCCTACTGGGAAAACTTATCTCTTTTGGGGGGGTTCTGTTGGAACCACCTCCATTTTTGGGGGGTCCTATTGGCACCACCTCCATGTAGAATGAGGCTTCTCTAGCAAGACAATAATATTCAACTTGCTTGGCAACTTTGCCACTTGAAAGACTGGTATAAACACAGGGGAAAAAAATGACTATACAACAGTCACCTATAACTTAGTAGAGAACTAAATCTAGAATACAAAGTTCCTAGAAACTACAAATAACACAAATAATATGTAAGAGTATCCTAATAAAACATGATGGAACATTGAAACTGGCACAAGGAATTTGTTTATAGAGGCTTCTGTAATAGGCCCAGTTGGGTATAGAGAACTCATTAGGCTTCATTAGTCATTAGGGCACAGAGTACTCTGATCTAGCAGACTCGGAAGTATCATCTCCTCTAGATTAAGAGAGACCAGTGGAGAGCATAGTTATCTGAACCAAGAAAGTGAAGCAGAGGAGAGATCCTAAAGTGGACCAGTGTCCATTCTTGGCCACTGAAAGTGTCATTACCAGGTAGCTGGAAGAAGGTATGTAACTCAAGATTCTTCCCTCAGTGTCTCTCAACAAGGGCACTATTATCATTAGGGTTTTCACACTAATATGTTTTGATACCTACATGATAAGAGCATCTCCTTGTCACTGTAACAATAAAATTATCCCCACTCATTTCCAAACTTCCCTTGCTCGGTGGGTGCTTTCCTCTCCAGTTGAAAACCACTGGAAGTGAAATGTTGAACAAATGTCCCTGGGAATTTTTAATGTTCATCTCTGGATCAGCGTAGGTCACCAGAAAGCTATATATCTGAATCAATAAAGTTCTAGATTTTGCCAGAGTACAGACAGCTACAGCCTCTGCAGCCAGACACTACATTTGAAAAAGGAAAGAGAAAACAGAAAAGGGGTGATTGCTTATGATGCCAGAGCCCTAGTCTTCCCAGAATGTTTGCATACATTTCATTGGCTACGACTGTAATACATAACAATTCACTGCAAAATAGTCTGGGAAACTATTTCAAATAGAAACATCACTACCCTAACAAAATTCAGATGAAAAATTTTAAGTAATGAAGATGGGGAGTGGGCGTAAGGAAAAGCAACATCTCTCTCACATCTGTGAGCAACATCTCTCTGTTGGCTTGGTTTGAGTAAATGACAGAGTAATATAAAGTTTTGCATCTTCTCTTCTTATACAGACTATAATCTACTTGAGAATTAATAAATAGCAAATTTAGGGTACAGTTATTCATTTATTGTAGCAAAAATCTATATCATAGTAACTCAGAACAAAATTAAAACATTGTGCCACTGGCATATTTGCAGATCTCCAAAAAACTAAAGCCTGATGATGAATGTTTGAATTCCTAAACTTTCCTTCAGCTTTATTTCCTATCCTAACCATAATCTCCCGCAGTTGAGCAGTGAGATCTTTTTATTTTTATGTCCTTAGGATATTCTTAGCATAGTATTTGTGAACTGAATAAAAAATACAAAAATCAGGAAGATATAAAAGGAAGAGGAGTCTACATTTGAGTTTCCTTTGGTAAATCAATTGTTAACAGGAATCTTTGATCTAAAATTTAGCATCTCTTTGGTTGTGCCAGAGATGGGGTTCAGCACCCCATTTTACTCTTTTTTTGTTACATCTTCCCAGTCCATGAACTTTTTCCTCTAGTGCCTCCTTTTATAATTTGGTGACTGTGTCTTTGTTCTTTGGGTGGTTTGATTGAGTTTACATGTTTAATTTATGTTTTATTTTGTTTGAGCTTTTGGTGTTAGATCAAAAATGTCCCTGCCAGATTCAATGCCATGAAGCTTCCTCCTTTTCCCTGTATTTTCTTCTTAGCTTTCTACAGTTTTAGACTCTTACATTTACAGCTAAAATTATGAGTTGCTTTTTGTATATGGTATAAATTAAGGGTCCAACGTCATTATTTTTTCATCTGGCTATCCAGTTCTCCCAGCACCATTTGTTGAAAAGACTGTTCTTTCCACATCTATGATCTTGGCATCCTCTTTAAAAATCAATGAATCCCAATAAAGTCCAATATGAAACCAAAAAAAAAAAAATGAATCCAGCTTCATTATTTTTCATCTGGATATCCAGTTCTCCCAACACCATTTGTTAAAAAGACTTCCACATCTATGATCTTGGCATCCTCTTTAAAAATCAGTGCATGTGTATGTCAATTTTGTACTCTCTGTTCTATCCCTCTGATGTATATTTCTGTCTTTATACCATTGCCATAATGGTTTGATTATTGTAGCTTTGTGTTAAGTATTGAGATTGACCATGTGGCATCCCCAGTTTTCTTCTTTTTCAAGATTGCTTTGGCTTTTTAGAGTGTATTGAGAGTCTATATGAGTGTTAGGGTGATTTTTTTCTAGTTTCACAAAATAATGCCTTGGGGATTTTTATAGAAATTGCACTAAATCTATATCCCCTTGAAAATAATAAAATCCTTATAATATTGTCTTTTAATCTAACAAAGTGGATTTTTTCCATTTATTTGTGTCTTCTTTAATTTATTTTAGCAATATTTTGTACTTTTAAATGTATAAGTCTCCTATATCTCTGGTTAACTTTATTTCTAAGATTATTTTTCCTTTTTTGATGTTATTATACATGCAATTGTTCCCTTAATTTTCTTGTTGGGTTATTCACTAGTAGTATACAGAAATGCCACTGATTTTTGTATTAGTCTGTGAATTCTTAGAAGCAGAAACCATGCCTTATTTATATTTGGCGGAGTTAATACAACAATATTAATTGGTAGCTATTAATATTCATTTTTGTATTTTTATTTTTATTAATATTTTTTTCTTTCTCCCACTTTAGGGCTCTACCAGTTCAACAGCCTCTCCTCCAGTGTCCACCCCTGTCACAGGACACAAGCGAATGGTCATACCAAACCAACCTCCTCTAACAGCTACCAAAAAGTCTACATTGAAGCCACAGCCTGCACTCCAGGCTGGACCCATCCCTGTGACTCCAATTGGAACACTAAAACCTCAGCCTCAGCCAGTTCCAGCCTCCTACACTACAGCATCCACTCCTTCAAGACCTACCTTTAATGTGCAAGTGAAGTCAGCCCAGCCCAGCTCTCATTACATGGCTGCTCCTTCATCAGGACAGTTTTATGGCCCAGGGCCCCAGGGCTATAATACTCAACCATTTTCTATCCCTGGACAGTGTCCACCTCCTTCAACACGAGGCGGCATGGATTATACATATATTCCACAACCAGGAATTCAGCCTGAACCTGGGTATGGGTATGCCCCCAACCAAGGACGATATTATGAAGCTTATTGCCCAGCAGGTCCTGGCTATGGGGTCAAGAATGATCCTGACCCAGCTTATGGTCAACCAAATCACCCAAATACCTGGAAGCGGGAACAAGGATATACTCCTTCTGGAATAGGGAACCAGAACCCTACCGGAATGTATCCAGTTGGTGGTCCCAAGAAGACTTATATCACAGATCCTGTTTCAGCACCCTGTGCACCACCACCACAACCAAAGGTAAGAAATGTGCTCACATAGGGAATACAGAAGTGCTTATCTTAGCCTTTGTTTCTCAAACTAACAGAGCCTAAGGCAAAAATATATGAGTTACTCTTTCATTTCATAAAGTTCAATCCCAAGGAAGTGTGAGTTTAAGGAGAAAAGGAAGGAGATCCTTTTTGTTGATATTGGGATATGTCACCGATACGGTTACTGTTTAGTGTTAAGTGCAACTAATTGTGCAATTTTGAAAGATAATTGTTCAAATGACATTCCTAACTATAGTGCCTCAAAACAATTTAGGGGAAAGAAGGAAAAAATATCTTGCAGTTCTTTATCTTCTGTTGGTTAAAGCTTCACTCTCTGGATCAGAAACATGCTCACACTTAGATGTTGCATTTACATGGAGAAAAATAGACCTGCAACATCTCTTTATAAATATTAAAGGTTTTTACTTATTTTGAATTAAATATGACTTTTTTATTGAGGGGATATTGGTTTATAACACTGTATATGATTTAGGGGAATAGAGTCACTCCTCTTCAGATGTATGTCCCCAAACCCCCCCACCACCAGTGCACCCATTATCCTTTACCCTAGACCATTGGGTCTCCTACCCTCTTTGTTCCTACTCTTGCCTTCTCCCAAGTAGCCTCAGTCTGCAGTCTATGTTCTAGGGTTTGTTTTAGTAGTTCCTTTGTTTTATTTCTCTGTATTCCATGTATGAGTGAAATCATCCAGTATTTCTTGTTCCTTCTGATTTATTTCACTTAACCTTGTCCCTTCCACTTCCATCCATGTTGTCACAAATGGCAAGAATTCGTCCTTTTTATAGCTGAGTCTTATTCCACCACAATTACGTACCAGAATTATTTATAATAACCAAGTTATGGAAACAACATAACTGCCCAGTGACAGGAGTACAATAAGACCATGTTAAAGTTTTGGTTTCATTTTAAATAGTTGTCCTTAATTGTCAGGCTAGACATCCTTTCCCTGTATAACAGTATAGTATTTTTGTATTAGACCCTGCCAGCCCCAGAAGCTACCAATTCAGAAAAGAAATGAGATTATTCAATTTTACCTCACTTTGGTACAGTGGAAGAAACTCCCCTATGGAAACTTAAAGGTTTAGCTTTTGACTACTGTTGTCGACACACAAGTTCAAAATGCTTTGCAGTTTTGCCCTGTCCACAACAGCTTGACTGACAGGATGATTGAGTGTTATTCCTAAGGGAGTGAATTAGGACTTGCATTGTTTAAGAATCCTATCACCCCTCCTAGGGAAACACAAATAAAACAGCAGAAGTATGTCTAGGTGGAAAGAATAACCTGGTGAGAAGTACTGAGTCATTCCTCAAGTTTTTTGTTTTCGCATCCCGTCACTTGGCACTCTGGACAGTGTATCTCCAACATTTGGAATCATTTTAGGAATGATGTAGGAAAAAAGATCAGTTCCCAAAGCAAGAATTCAATCTAAGATGTTGCATCAAACCATATTGCTAGCATTTAGTCTGTCTTCAACCTACTCAGGGTGATGGAATGAACTTTTATTAACCACTCATCAGAAAGCATGAAACTTTATTTTCATGCTTGGAATAAGGTTATTATTCAAATTGATTCTGATATATTATTGCAGATTCTGGGTATCAGTGGATTTCATGTTTGTTTTTTTTTTTTTTTGAACAATTTTGAAACACTTGGTTTTCAACAGTATTCTGTGTTTTAACACCATATTCAATTGGCCATTTTAAATATTAAGATCAAATCATGCAATTTCTCTGTGATTAGTAATTGTTTGGCTTGGGGTGAGACTTAACCATTTATCTATGTTTTGGGAAAAGGGAGAGAGGTTGGCAAAGCTATAGATAAAAATTCTGCATGTGTTATAGGAGCATTGGGGAATGAAGTGTGGCCCCATGCACAGATGGTCCTTGAGCAGAACAGTATTCAACTGCATCTGTGCACAGAGGACCTTTATTGTCCTGATGTGGACTTGACTTGGCTTAGTAATCTGATGCTGACTTGAGAAATGAGCTCCTAACTCTAGTCCTATTTCCTCCCTTGCCATTCTTCTTTCATCTTGAGAAAAGCCTGCGGACCTCTCTATGTCACACTTATTTTAACCTCAGTAGAGTGGTAGAACCTCATTTCACTAAGTAATGAATGATTGCAAAGGACTTGGAAATTTCAAAGGATTGAAAAATTGTCAAGTGAATATTTTTTAGCTTTTTCACCAGATTTCTTTTTTCTTTTCTTTTTTTTTTTTTTTTTTTTTAGTCACTGATGGAAAACTTATCTTCTCTGCCTTAAAACAATCTTTTGTTCTATGGCGAATTCTTGAGGAATTTGGCATTGAACCCGTGAAGAAAAATACTTAAAAATATGAAAGAAATCAGTCTCCCCTGCATTTTAGGTGAACTGCTTTATATTTCCTACATCATAACACATTAAAATAAGAGAGGAAGGAGAAAGTATGAGGAAAGAAAGAAAAGGAAAAAAAGAAAGGAATGGAGTGAAGAAAAGGATGAAAAAGGAAGGAGACAAAATCAGAACCTGAAAGTCTTGGGAAATGATTATGTTTGTATTCCCTTAATGTGCTGAGCAGTGAATTTGCATGCTACAGTAGAGCATAATGTGTCTCCTGTACCATCTGAGCTGAGTTCCTTGAAAAATATTGTTATAAGCAAGTCTTTATAAGGCAGAAATGCTCCCTTCTCACTGGAAATCCTCTTAAAGACACAGTGGAATCTTTGTGCTGTTTTACGAAAGCTAATATCTGCTTGCTGCTTTGTAATTCTTGGCATTTTTTGCTATGTGTTATCTTCATCCTTGTGAGGTGGGAGGTGTATTTTATCTAATATTCAGATAAGGTACATCAGCTTGAAAGTCCCCCAGAAGTAGGTCCTAGAAGCCATTTTTCAGTCTCAGGTAAGGAGTGACAGTGTTGCTGTAGCACCTCCTTCCTAGCTTATGTCATCTTCACCTCCATTAAAGAGACAAGTATTTGCCCATAGAATTTAAAAGGCATTGGTGTGTGTATGCCAAGGAATTGAGGAATCTTACCTATTGAGTGATATAGACTAAAATCATCCTTTATTTAAATGTCCTTGGAAAATCCTTCAGAAAGGTGAGATAAACAAGGCAAATTTCAGTAACTAAGTTTTTCTTATTTAGAGCATAGAATATTATTCTTTATTTAGTTTTAAATATGAGGTATATTTAATGGGTCAGAGAAGAAAAGTAATGGTTATGAACTGTGAACTTCAGTGTCGGAAGTCCTCCAAACCTGTAATTTCTTAAGATTGAGAAAATATTTGAGAATGGTGATATAGCAGAATTTGAAAATTGCAAATAACAATATAATGTTTAAAATTTCTCTTCCTTGTGGGCTTTACATACACCATTAAGAGTTGGTGGCATTTTGGAGCGAAGTATCTTGATGATAATTCCTGTGCTAAATCTCTCTCACTTTTAGGGTCAGAGAAACAAAAAAGAAGAGAAGGTTAGGGTGGGGAGAGCAATGATGCAGAGAGATGCCTCGGGTCAGTTGCTCATACCTGAGTATGTGTGAGGATGAAAATGGAAGTGAATGCCTTGTGGAGACCTGTAAGGGTAATATTAGCAGTTCCCTTTGTAGAGAGCTGTCTAGAATCTGAAGTACTTTGCACACCTACAAAATCTATGAGCATTAAGCACAGACAGAGCTTTACTGTCTCCTTCAATGATGAGGCTTCAAAAGCTCAGCAATGAGAGCCACTCATTTAAGGTCAAATGTCAGATTCATGGACAGTCATAACCACAGTGTGGGTCTTCTGAATGTTGTCCTGGGGCTTTCCACTTGGCAAACCACTGGATCTTTGCAAGCATTAGTGTTTGGATGGTGGAGTGCCACCTCTGTACCCCCAACCACTGTGTGCACCCCACTATGTCCCACATGGTCTCCAGCTATTGTGGAGCTGGATGCATGAGCTGGTCAATAAATTCCTGGCTGGGAATCTTAATGTCTGTACTTCCTATTCTCCACCAACAAGTACAATTTATCTATGCTTCTTCCTGCCTTCTCTCTTTCTAGCCCCTCTACCTCTCCACCCCAGAGTTCAGAGATGCTTTGTGTTCACTGGTGACACTACCCCTAGTTCTCCACCCCTGTTCATCCTGCATAGACTATCACATTAATAAATTATGTACACACTCTTTTTTACTTTCTATACTTGCAAAATGTCCAATGACTACTGATTCATAGTCTCTCACCAATTGTTTTGAAGTTTAATGTACACATAATAAAATGTGCCCATTTTAGCTGCATAAGGCAGTGAACCTTTGACAAAATATGTGCGCCTCTACAACTACCACCAAGAGAGAACCTTTCAGCTATTGCAGAGGCTCCTTCAAGCCAAATTGCAATCAATCCCCTTTACACTCACCCCAGGCAACCAGTTGCTTTCTAGCATAGATTATGTTTACCCTTTGTAAAGTTCTACATAATAAGAATTATATAGTATATACCCTTGTGTCTTGGGCTTCTTTTACTAACTATATTTTTTATTCATAGCTGTTGTTGTGTATATCAATAGCTTATTCATTTTTATTGCTAATTAGTATACTGTTGTATGGAGATGCCACATATTATTCATCCATTCACTTGTTTGGGGTAATTTTTATTTTCCATTTTTTTTTCATTAGGACGTGTTTATTTTTGATTCTTATATTTTCATTTTTAAATATGTGTTGACTTTACAATCAGGTTTTAATTTCAAATATCTTTTTATTTGGAATTATATATAATGCTGCCATGAACATACGTGCTTGTCAAATTTTTGCTCCATTTTTTTAATTGGAGTGTCTTTTGATTGAGAGTTCTAAGAGTGTATTATATATTCTGAATAAGAGTCCTGAGATACCTGAATTGCCAATATTTCTTCCTAGTCTGTCTTGACTTTTCATTTTGTTAATAATGGTTCTCTGAAGAGCAGACATTTTTAATTTTAATGAAGGTCAGCATTGCATATTTGCCT